TTCAAAGATAAACAACTATGCAAATATCCACGAAACGGCAGTTGTAGTCTTTTCTGCTAGTGTTTTAAAACACTAATTTGAGCAACGTTATTTCGCAATTTCGATCTTTTGTAAACCTGGGGTGATGTATCAAGGTCAAAAGTAACCGTTTTATCAATTTTTGAAAAATCAAGAAAAAAGTGAAAATTTCCCTTCTCGCTACCTTAAGTATGGATGCCTATGATTTGATTCAAGAGTCTGGTTCATTCGCATCCACCGGTAACTACATGCAAATATGGTTTGCTTGCTTAGGTTTATCAATAACACAAATTTGTTTAAAGTGTTTTGAGGACAACTGATTGATTTACAAACCTCAGGACTAGAAACAACAATTATGTTATCAGGGTATACTCAGCATGGCTTGACACATTGCCTGTGTTGATGCCATGTTTTTCCATTCATTTTGGCTATGTGTGGAGGCAATGTGCTAATATAGAGGTATTATGCTGTATGTATGGAAATGTAACGACATCAAGCAACCAATTGACTATAGTAGTAGAGCCGAGGGCATAGGCTGAAGAATTCTGTATCAGTATTCCTGCATTTTTCTATTGACACACATTAAGTACTGGTGTATAAAATTGAGGATATGTATGCATGAAAGTATCTGATAGTAACTTGAGTGATATTGACCATAATTGGTATATAAGATTTTTCATATAAAATATTCATAAAAGTATTATAAATTAACAATTAACAATTTTGATGTGTGTGTGTGTGGAGCCTGTGAATGGGACTTGTGCTCGTAGGTCTTTCCAAATCAATAAATAAAATTTAACCAATCATAATGCCATAGCGAATCATACCACACATATGATAAATTATCCTGTGTGCTAGTAAAACAGCCAATGATTGAAGGTGCTACCAAATAGCTTTACATCCTATGAAAGTGTCTTTTTTGGATTTGATTGCGGCCCAAGTGTTGTCCTGAGTAAATGTTTTCTATGAAAAATATTCACACCTTTGTGAAATTTGCTGTAATTGGGTGACTTGATAAAACGATATTCTTGAGATTATGGTTATGTTCATAATTAGTTGAAATGTTTGTACAATTTCAGGTGCCATTTCTCTCAGTAGGTCAAGATATAGGTCAACGAACTATTAAGTATGAAGGTCACAGTGCCCTAAGTGGCAAGTTTGTTGTGGAGGATGTTGAAGGTGATAATAAACAGATTTTGAGACGACTGGTTTTTTACAGTAATAAGAATATAGTACAATCAGAATCCAGACTTATACAGGGTAAGAAATAACTATACAAAGACTCTATCATCTGTAATATTCAGAATGAATTTCTTTTGTACCCCCTAACTTTAAACTCCCCTGCCTCCCCGAATTCAATTGTCTATTCCCCCTCTAGATAATTATAGATGTCTTCAGAAGGGGTATATGCAATTTCATTAGGGAGTGCTGGAGGGTAGGGTAGTATGGTTAGATTTAGGGTTAGGGGTTACAAAAGGAACTCTTTCTTAATATTCATTTTGTACTGTGATAGATATTAAAAATGCATGATAGTTGACACAACACAAGTACAAAATACTGTAAATGCATTAATTATTTACTGGGTTAAGTAAAATTCGCTAAATTCAAACTATGTGAACATGTAAAATAACAATAAATCGCATTGTTTCCTTGACAAATTCATAAAATTAAAACTCAGTGTTTTTGTTGGCTTAACAATGCTTCTATTATAACTTACTGTTGCTTATCTCAACCAGTTATATTTTAGAAACTCAAAATTCATGTCTTTTTTGAGTTTCATTTTTTTATATGAAATTTGCATATATAAAATCAGATATATGGACTCGTTCGCAACTGATCCATGGAGATGAGTGAGACAATCTCATTCAAACTTAATATAATGACAATGCATAGCATATTAGGCTGTAGTTGTATGTTAGTTTTCTCATGATTTTTTTCATTTGCGAGAAATAAAGAAACACTGTTTTTCAAAGTATCTTCTTTCTGCAGAGATAAAAAGGAAAGCTAAAAGTAGGAAGAAAAAAACATTAGTGGTTGTTGATCACAGTTATCTCGCCTGTCAACATCATGTTGCTATGGTATCGGGCATATCTCTCTATCAGTGCTTCACATCGTCTGTAGGTAAGGTTCATCAGAATCTTTGCATTCTGTGTTGTTTACACTGCTAAATCAGAGTAATATAATGCACAAATGACATATTTGTATAGTGGCCCAATATTTGACGATGTCACTCACTTGAGGGCGCTGCATATTTTAACCCTAGTTTGTTGGTCTGTACTGTGTTGAACAAATTTGCCATCTCAACTCCCAGAGGAGCATACAACCTTGGCTGCCATATACAGGCGCACATGGGTTAGGTGTCAACATTCCATACCAGGTTCTTGTTTTCTTCTGCGTAGTGAGTTGGAGTAAAATATCTAGCCAAAGGTACAACAACCTGGCATAGCCAAGACCCAAACTCACAACCATTATATCGAAGTACACTTAGATATAATTATGGTTAGAAAGAGAGAGAAGATGTGTTTGTAATTTTCTTTGAGTGCAAGG